GAGTAATTTGGTGGCTTTCATTAGTGTCTTTTTTATTTTTTTTTAAACATCAGCTTTAGGGTTGTTTATTACCCAGGTTAAATATGCTCAGTGCCAGAGCAATGTGTATACAGGTGACTAATTTTTCAATTATCAGATGCAAACTCAGTTTTGCTTCAGAGATGAGTTTTCCAAATAGTTGTGCGCTCTAAAGCTATTTAAACTATAAGACTGTACATTATATGATAATACAGGCAGTAGGTTATGGTTGTTTTAATACAGCTATATGGATACACAAATACATGGTTTTATTGAGATTTCAAGGCTGATTTTTTTTTTCTTTGTCTTTTGATTTTAATCTCCTAGTGTATTTGAGAAAAGTTTCTTTTAAAATGAGGAAGATGTCTGTAGAGGAAATGGCTGTACCAACAAAGGAATGCTGCATTAGTTGCTGAGTACAGCTGGAAAACTGAAATAGCTAGGCATACAACTGGCACGAAAATTACATTGCTAAGCAGGGTTATCCATATTTCTACTAGTAAAATAAAGTAAATGACATCACACTCAGCTGAAATCTGTTTCCATCTGTGGAAACAGGCTTTGTTCTTGTCTGCTACCTTAGTGTGGTGTGCTGATATGCAGCATGAAATACAAACTGCGCTTTTAAAAATAACACTTAAACTTTTAAATGTGAAAAGCCTTGGAATAATTGGGCACATCCTTGAAGTGTGTTGTATAGTTACTTTAGAAATACCAGAGGGATGTGCTGATATTGCATAACAGTAGGTGTTGCTAAAAACCTTTGAGATTTTTAGAGGTATTGATGCAAACAGGAAAACCACTAGAAAATGCTCAGCTGTTGTAGCTCTCTGTGTCAATGATACTGATTGTGCCCAGGCTCCCTGCTGCTCCTGTTCTATGTGTTTCTGCTTCAGTCAGCTGCAGCGATTTCTCTTTTGCCTGTATACTAATCTATCATGTATAGATTGAGGGTAAAAGTGAATTTACTGACCTTCAACTACACTCACTGGTGTCAAGTTGGCTTGTCTACTGTTAAATTGCCTGGTAGCTTCAACTGAGATGATTTTGGCTGTGTGAAGGAGCTAGTGATGCCAGAGTTGGCAGCAGTGTCATGCCACACTGAAAATGTCAGCTCTGGCTGTAAGGAGATAAAAATTTCACGGTTCAGGTTGCTATTATATGCTGATGTTTTTCATTTTAGTCCTATCTACCCACTTCTAGTGAACAAGTGGCAGTGTTTCTAGCACTTCCATGTTACAGCAGTATTGAACACTAGCAAGTAAGAATATATTGTGATGTTAAGTTTCTCATTCTTTGGTTTTAAAAGTGATTTCAGAAGAATTATTTAAAAGAAAAACAGCGAGTACCAAACCAGGGATTGTTCTGACTCCGGATTTGACCAGCATTGAGTAACATAAAAATTCCCTAGTTGAGGTAAACTAGCTATTTCTATTGGTTTTGTCTTGTTCTCACTTAACTTGATGTTGTCTTTTAGTTTAGCTTTATGATCACCTTACTGTTACTGTCACAAGCTTTCTGCTTGAAAATCGATTGTTCCCAAAGCTGTGTTCTCAAAATTCGTTTTGTCCCACTTCTTGTTTCTGCCAGATTTTAGAGGATGACACATTCACAGGAAAATCGCTGTTTAAACTTTAAAATATGTATTTTCTTTTTTTAAAAAATTGAAGTGGTGCTACTTGACAGTGAAGAGAGTGGAGAAGTACAGACCACAAATCTTTTAAGTGAAAGATTCAAACTTTTTCTTTCATATGCTTCATAGCAAGAAACTTATATGTGCTGCAGGCTACTAGTAGCTCTTTAAATAACTTTGAACTGTTTTTTGAGAATTTGGGAGAGGTGTATAGATGGCCAGGAACTGCTGGCATATAATTATGCAGCCGTCTGACAGTTGGTAGTGGTTATGATGTTCAGGATCATCTTTTTTTAACAAATAGACTTCTGCCCTTATGAAGTCTGTGCTATCTTATTAGGATTAACAAAGTTTTCCTGATCTCCGATACTTAATGGTTATAACTTCAACCAGAAGAATAAGGAAAGGTGAGATCCCTAAAGCTGATGTGTTAATGGACAGGGTATTCCACAGGGAAAAAAATGAGAGGAAGAGCTGTTGTCTCCAGAATTTCATAAAAAGTAAGGGTGTTGGGGCTCTTGTTATTTCTGTTGCCAGATCTCCTGTTACGTGGGTGAAGTGAGGTTTTTAATTTGTAAGGCTTTTCTCTTCATTGGGAATTAAAACAATTCAGCGTTTTTTGATGGTTGTTTTTCTTGGCCTTAGGATAAAAAGCCTTTGGATTGTAGCAGAGCTGTATTTGGATAGGCTTCTACAGATCAGTATGCTGAACTGGCATTCAAGCAGTCTAGACTCTTTTGAAAGGCATTTCGACATCTGAAATGTGTAGGTAAGCTCTGCTGCAGTGGAGTAGCAGCTTGCCGATAGATTAATATACAGAGAGCCTCAGATTCCATCTTCTGTTAGCTCGAGTTTAATGTGACTTGTGAAATTCTGAGCATCCAAATCCAGATTTTCAACTGCGGCAATGGTACACCAGTTATGCCTTTTCATATCAATATTATTTTAAGTGACCTGCAGTGCACAGTCCCTGCCTCCTGCAGAGGAGTATGAGCTCATGGAGACCTGCTTGAAGTGCCCTTTAGCTCCTCTGCTGCTATCGGCCATTAACAACTCTGTTGTATGGGTGAAGGCCCAATGTGTGCAAAGATTGCAAACCTGCCCCACAAGATTTCTTCAGAGATAGTGTTGTTTTGTGGAAGGGAATGGATCCTAGAAAAGGGGATGTAGATGTGAGACTTATACATTTGACCTGGTCTAGCTTTGGGTGTTTCAGTTCAAGGAAGGTGTTAATTTATTTGAGAAAGTGCAGTTGAGACCACCAAGAGGGTCACAGCACATCACTTGTGAGGAGAGCCTGCATGAACTGGGCATGTTCAGCCAGAAAAGAGAATGCTTTGGGGGGACTTATTAGCAGTCTTAAATAATTTTGAAGTTTATGAGAGCCAGGCCCATTTTCTTGCTGTGCTACTTGGTCAAGAGAGACAGTGGTCATAAACTTCTAGTTCTGGCTGGATATAGCTAAAACTTGGCACTAGGAGGCTCACTAAGCATTGGAACAGGTGGCCCAGAGGGCATGTGGAATCTCTCTTTGGAAGTCCCTGAGACCTGACTGGCTGAAGCCTTAAGTAGCCTGGTCCAAATCTGATGTTGACTGTGGTTTGAGCAGGAGATGGGACTAGATGACTTGATAAGGCCCTTACAAACATGAAGGGTTCTGCAATTATGATTCCATAATTTTATCCTCGCCCCTCACTTGGGGCCTTTATAGTTCAACATTGGTATCTCTGCCAGTATCCCCCTGCAACAGGCTTCCTTCCGTGGGTCACGATGTGTTTGTCTTGCACTAAAGATGGAGAAACCTGCTTCCTATAGTATTTGATATTTAAGGAAGTATCTCACCTTTGTTGTTAACAATTCCACTTTTTTTTTTCCACTTATGTACTATATGTTAACTGTCAGGGATGACTTTAGTACTCTAAATTGGCTTCTTACCAAGTAGAAGACTCCTGCCTACATTTCAGAGTGGTTCTTGGAAGATGGTGTTTATCAAACTGATTGAAATCAAACTTTACTAGTATACAAGACATCAATGTAAGTTCTGTATTAGTCTTTGCAAATAGCATCTTGTAGAAGATGAAGGCTCTTGCACTAGTTGCTAAAAAAAAAAAACCAACCCTGAAGTAAATGGGGGCTACAAGTTCTTAAAAGTTCTTCCTGGGTCTAACAGTAAAGCTGGGTGGTGTCATGCAGTCTTCTGCAGTGGCTCCCTAGGTAGAACCACTTACTTAAAGCTACCTGACACAAGTATAGTTGATTATTTACTTTGGTAAGGTAAAAATTTGAGTTGAAATCTTACAATGCCAGTTTCATCTCAGACTCATTTGAAAAAAAAACCCAAACCAAACCAAAACACCAAGACACATGATGCATCTGTCTCTGCCTAACGGTAAGAAGTTAAATTACTTAAGAGTCCTGAACTTCCTTAGATCTCTGGATATCCCTGCAAGTGTACGTTTCTCCCACATAACCATCCTGAGCTAGTTTTAAGGGATGCTGCGGAGATGTTGGTAGACTTTTCTGTAATTGCTGCTTTAGGCCAGCTGCAGCTAAGGGAAGGCAATTGCCTGACTTTACAAAGTGTAGCAAGCTGGTGAAATAAAAGTATGGAGCTCTTGCATTTCTTAAGGAGATGGTAACTACTGCTGTCGGATCTCTCATGGAGAATTGTTCCACTGCCCTGTAGCCAACACTCTTACTAGAAAATGCTGTATTGTAGCAGAGTTGTGTTAGGGCAGATCTGTTTACTGATCTTGCTCTCAATGTGGATTGCTTGGCACCCTCTCACCCTGCTCTGCACTGTACTTAGGATGAATTTTAGCAGAAATTGTCTGTCTGGGCAAAAAGGGATTAATTCCCACTTGCTTCTCTTTCAGTGTGTTGCTGTTGCAGACTCCTATCAAAAGAAGATGAAATTACGTAACTCATTGTGTTGTCATAAAACTACTTTTGAAGAATTTTCTGGTGATCTGATAAAAGTAGATGATTCTGATTACCCACTTATAATTGTTAGAGGTTCTTTAAGTGTGATAGCACTCCCAGTGTGAAAAAACTCTTTTGGCATGGACAGACTGCAGGACTGGTTTTACTTGTAGCTGAACCAGTAGAGCAGTCTTGTGAAACCGGTTGTTTTCTTCAGGGCATACAGCTTTTTCTGTTTGTGTTGCTCAACGTTTTCGTATTGATAAACTTCCTCCAAGCAACCTGTAACATGGTGATTTTTTTTTTTTTTTCAGGCTACAGAAAGAGATTTTTTTATTAAGTTGGCTGCATTGCTCTAAGAATGTGTTGTCACTCTTGTCATATACAGTATAACAGATTCTGAAAGCTCTCTTTATTTTCCAATAGGTTGGTTTTTGGGATGCTGTATCCTGCATATTACTCATACAAAGCTGTGAAGACAAAAAATGTGAAGGAATATGTAAGTTGCATCCTTTTAATTTCTTTATTAAATGTCTCTGCTGCCATACAACTGTGAAATTCTCATTGTGCAGTGCTATAAATTATATGAAAGTTTCATTTGACATAGTATTAGATACAACACCTGTGTGAACCTAGTGGTAATCCTGTGATTTTGTTGGGAGAGCTGAAGTTAAGGTCTCTCAGACTCTCACAGACTTTGCTGAAACATGTCCAGCACACTGTGCTGTATACGGATATTCTTAGCAGGATTTTTAAACATAAAGTGTTGGTTGCACTTTTGGGCAGGGGGTAGAAAAAAGGTTTCCTAATTCTGACAACACTTGCAGTATAAGCAATGACAAATTGATTCTCAGTGACCACTTGAACAGCAGCGATATTTTAATTGTCACTGTAGGGAGCTCAACAGGGGTTTTGCAATCTACCTGGGAAAAGGTAGCTCTGGTTAATGTATTGGTTGTCAAAGAGGAGAAAAAAATATAACCAGGGAAGGAAAAGGTTTGGTTAAGGTAATGTGGAGGAAAGGAGCAGAGCAGACAGAGTAATGTGGACGAAACCACAGCTACTGTAGTTACTGCAGTTTAGAATTAATCTGTTAAATTATTGACTTTTCAGTGTGAACAGTGATGTTTACCACAAGAATGTTACCCAGCTGCAGTCAGGAGGAGCTTTGCTCACAGAGTTACTTCCCTGTTTTAAGAGGCGGCCTGACTTGATTTCAGCAACTCACCTATAGTCTCTCCTTGCACCTTGTTCTTAACTCCGCTCCTGACTCAGATGGAGTCAGTGCTGTCAGTTACTGGAACTCGGCGGCCATAGCTGTGACCTAATGCTGCCGTCTGGATGTGCGATGTCTCTGCTTTGTACTTGGTTGTACTAGTAGAATGCAGTGGCTGTTCCTCCCCTCCTCTGGTATGTCTTACATGTAGTCTGATCACTCCATCAGAGCTCCAAAGTAGACATCATAGTTTTACTATTTCTGGTTTCTGTGTAAAAGCTGATTAGAACTTATTTGTGCCCACAGAGCTAGTGCCTGCCAGAGCTAAGCTTTTGGGGAAAAAAAAAAATCATCAAAAATAAGAGAAGGATTTCCTGTCTCATGCTTACTTTACCCTATCAAGAAGGTATATAATGCAAAGAATTTATAATCTACTTTTCTTCTCTGCTCCCTCAAAAGGAATCCACAGGCTAAGTAGAGGATAGCAGTTAAAAACGCTAATACAAGAAATCACTTTAAGAGGTTACCATTGCCTCTTGCAATGTATTTTCTAGAAAAAGAAAAGTAATGGTTCTACGCTGCTGAGATTTTGACTTTTACCTCAATTGTCCAGTTAACTATGACTTAGCTGCCTTTCTGGGGCAATATACTTTTTTAGAGATGCCTGTCACTTACACAAGACCTTTAGTAGGGCCTGGGACCATAATTTTCCACCTGTGTGTTTTCCTTTAGTGTGAAAACACTGCTTTTCAGTCACCTGTGGTCTTTTTGCAGTCCCTGAACTTGCAGTTGCATACAAAATGTTATGGGGTTGAGATGAATGAGACCCATCACAGTGACTTTTTCATGAGCAGAGAACGACATTGATTCATCAGTGAATTACCACTCCATTGCTGCTTGGGTTGAGTGTCCAGGAACATCTTAGGGACTATCCATGGCTTTCCTCTTCCCAGCTGGGACATGTTGTTTCACAGAGAGGGTGTAGGTTTAACTGTAGCCTTCCAAATGGCACAGCTCTGTTGCCAGTCATGTTATGGTCTGAGCACAACTTCCTTTCCAGGTCTGTGTGTGGCTCAGGAGCCATCTGTTTTTGTTGCTGGATTGCAAGAGCTTTTTAATAGTGAAATTTTTTACTTGGCTACAGCTTCTACCAGTAAAAAGCAACCAAAAAAAAGTCCAGACATCTTGACTTGCTGTGTAGGTCAGGATTCAGCGAACTGTTCCAAGATTACGGATGATGATGTTGCTGGTTTTAGTAATTTAAAAGTCTTAGGGTCTGTAGTTCTAGAAATAAGCATCTGTGCCTTTGAGGAGATTTATTTGTTCTTATAATTACCCTGGTTTAATGGAGTTGACCGGGATCTTTCAGGAGTTTTTTTTCACTGTTACACCAAAGTGCTTGTAATAAGCATCTGAAACATAGTTTATAATAGAAATCAGAATGACCAGTCTTGTCAAATCCTGCTTCAGAATCCTGACCTGAAAGGATGTATTTCAGCCAGAGCCAACAAAGATGAGCTTAACACTTGGATGGTAGAAAGTTCAATAAGCCTATCTGTAACCACCCTTTTAACATAAAAAGTAAAACCCAATCAAAGCTTCTGTAACGTTCATCTTTAAGAGTTGTTACAGTCTTCTGGGCACTGTCAAATACAACCTTCTGCTTTTCCTTAAGTTTTTTCTCGAATGAAAACCACTGTAAATCGGACAGGTTCGTTTGTTGAGGATGCTTTTGGTACCTAATGTGTTAGTTGTACAAAATATGATTTGACTTGTGTTGTTGAGAATTTTTGCCCAGACCTCAGCAGGACTCCTGGCAGATCTCGTATGCCCTTCTGTAGGGCATTTTTTTACTGTTCTGAGCAGCCCAAGAGAAACTCCTCTTCTACTGTTGTTTCTAATTGGATAAATAGATGTTGATTAAAGAATGAACAGCCTGAATAAATTATACTGGGGGAAAAAAAAAAATCAGTCTTCTGTGGCATCTTAAAAATTACATTTCATCATGATTAGGTTGATGGGGCAAGGGTGGATGTTAATTTTATTTTTATTCAGGTGTTGACTCTGGTTCATGGAAGGGTCACCAGTCTAAATGTCACATGGCCTGTCAGAGGTGACCTCAGCTGTTGTGTACATTTGTCTTAGTTTATTCAAGCCTGAAATACCTAAATCCTCTGAGAGTTTGAAGTGAAGAATGTCATCACATGACTGAGTTTCTTTTCAAATTGAAATGTAGAAAAGCATTTGAGATAAATGGGTTTCAAGTTGTGACAAAGGAAGTGGTTTTGAAGTGTAATGCACAGCTACAAAATAGGCAGCGGTGTAGCATTAGGTTTTGAGTACTTATTTAAGTCTGCTTCAAAAAAAGATTGCTTTAAATATGAAGATTAAATCTGAGCCACATCATCTGTAGGAAAGTATATATAGCCCTCCTTTTGAATGAGGGTACCATGAATTCAGGGCTCAAGTTAGTGTCTATCAAATGTGGTGTTTAATGCTTTGTGGGTATACCGGAGGAGTTCGTAGTCTGTATATCATAAGTGAAAAGAGGTTATTCCATCTGGTTGCGGGTGATGCTTTTCTTCTCTTAAACACTTTTGTTTTTTTTTCTAGCATAGATAGTGTTGGAATTTAAAGAACATGTGGGTGTTCAGTTAGTATGAATAACCAGCGGTGGTTTGCACGGACCTATTTTGGAAATACGTTGCTTTTGGCCGCTGATATCTTAGAGAAGATGAATGTCTGCAACTGCTTCTGTAATGCATATTCTGAAAAATGTAATCAGTAAAACCTGTAGTTTAAGAGCATTGTCTGATTTCAGAACAATAATGTATAGAGTAAATCTTAAAACCAAAAATTAGTCTATAGATACAAACCCCTGAAGCATTAAGATGCTTATGTGTGAGCTCTTTTATTAACAAGACTTTTGTGGTTCTTGGCATATAAATAGAATTAAATTTCCATGAAAAATACTGTTTTCCTGCCTTGCTCCACTATTAATACTATAATGCTAAACACACATATAGAACTTGAGAGCAATGTATAGCTGAATAACATTTATTCTGAAATGAAAGCAAGGGCTACCTGACATTAATTTCTGACTTCTGTGTGTCTGGTATAAACATATGGATGGGTGTGGAAGAGTGAAATATTCTTTAGTGCTATAGTGGGAATTGCACTTTGTACTTTTGAGTATCTACTGACTCTTTGCAGTGTTTTTTCTTATCAGTAAAGCTCTTTAGAGGCAGAGCCAAATCTGTGAAGCCAGCCTAGGTGAGGTTGTGACCCTGGTGACCCAGCCATTTCACTTAGCTTGTGGCAGCTGCCACCACTTCTACTTAGGAACAGAAAATCATTAGGACCCTCATATCATTTCACTTGAAACCTGGTTGAGGCAGACAGATACTGGTGAATGTCTTGCTTTGGCAGCTCTGAACTGACTGTACAGTGTATAGTGGATTCTGTGTAAAGGTGAAATCAAAATTCACACTGAACATGGTATTTTAATTTTCAGGTTCGCTGGATGATGTATTGGATTGTGTTTGCTCTTTATACAGTAACTGAAACAATAACTGACCTAACAGTCTCTTGGTAAGAGCCTGCTTTTTATGAACTCTAGATGAGTCTATATTTGTTTCTGGTGTTCTTTGATTTGTAATGATTTAAGATTTAATTTTTATAAAGAAGTTGTGCTTGTTAGTAGCTCTTTATTTTCAGGAAAAGATCTCGGTGTATGTAAAAAATATCTGTTTTCGAGTGTGCACTGTCACTCAAAGTAGGGACTACAAAGCTGCCACCTTTGCTGTAGAAACTGAATGGAACTCTTAAAAGGATGGACTATAGCTTCTCTGTGCACGAATGTATAATGCAAAGCTTTTAACTGTTTGTTTCTTAAATGACAGTACAGTCAATTAGAATTAAATCCATAGGTCTGTAACTCATTTGATTTTTGTCTAATATAACTTCTTGTATATGAAGAATCCTATCCGGTAACATGTAATTTTGTTTTCTGAGATCTCTTCCTGATGATGAATTACTGTGTGTTTTCTTACTGCAGTTGTTGATTTCATGCAACTTTTAACTTGTCTGTAGGTTTCCACTGTACTATGAACTGAAGATAGCTTTTGTTATTTGGCTCCTTTCCCCATATACTAGAGGGGCAAGTTTAATCTACAGAAAATTTCTCCACCCCCTTCTTTCTTCTAAAGAAAGGGTAAGGAATAACTTCTCATATTTTTAATGCCTAATATGGAAATATCATATCTTGAAATACTAACTGTTGCTAGATAAATGATAAAAGCAGATCAGTGTGTTACTGGTTTGCCAGGCAGCAGGAACTTGGCCTGGCAGAGGCAAGTGCATATGGCTGTCCATGTATATGTTTCTGTTTAACTTGCATGAGCAGATGATGTACTACTCTTTTGACATGAGATAGCTTGGTGTGTTCACTGGTTATTGCACTTTGGGGAGCCCAGTTGAGTGGAAGTGATGCAGTTTGACTTTCTACTGGAAGAACATGTGCAGTACTCTCTCGGAAGAAGCACAAATGCAGGCTTAGCAACAATTCTTCATGTTACCATTTTTTAAAACATGATCGAGCAATAAAACTTCTCAGGAGAAATGATGTTGATGATTTTTCTGATGTGCAAACTGACAGGATGAGAGAGACTTTCTACTAAGGGAAGAATAGTCTGCAGAAATATACCCCAACTGAAAGCAGCTAAAGGATATTTAGCTTTAGCCCAAGTATGACCAGACCACAGATCTGCTTAGTTTTTTGTTTTGGTATCTTGTTTGCGTGGAAAGGGTGATTAGCAAAGGTGTGAATACTGCCACCAAAAACACTCACACTACAGAAAATAGCTTTCATAAAGGTCAGTGTTGAGCTTGGCCTTTATTAGGCGAAAAACGTAGCTGACATAATTGCCATGGATATGAACAGTACGGTCATCCTGACCTTTTGAAGGCTGAACTGTGAACCGTTTGCAACTTCATAAGCTAAAGGATTTTTTCCCTCTAGTCTGCTAGCTGTTGTGAACTACCTTGAAGCCTTTATCTCCAGCTCCAGGCGTTTACCACAGCTGGGGATAAATGTCATGACTGTATTGTCCTTGGTACTTAACTATGTCAGAGCTCTGGCTTCAGAAGTTCTTTCTGAGCCGACCCTACCTTTCTAAGGAGCTCTCATTTCACCTTAAGCATGTTATTTCTTGAACAACTTTTGTCTGACAAGTTAAGCTTACTCTCTGTAAGGAACTTGCTATGTAGTGGTGATGTTTCTGAGCTGGACAGAAGTAATGTATTTTTATCTTGTTTGACCAGACGTGGTTATTTTTTAAATGAGATAATATAAGGGAATGAAACATCGGTGTACAAAGACAAGAGTAATTGTCCCATTAAAAATTTTTTTAAAGATATCTGTCTTCCTTCATTGATGGAAAAATAATACTGTGGGGAAACGTGACTCTCTTCTGTACAGTTCTCTAACATTTGTTTTGCTTTTAGGAGATTGATGAGTACATCGTACAAGCCAAAGAAAGAGGCTATGAGACCATGGTGAATTTTGGAAAGCAAGGGTTGAATTTGGCAGCAACGGCTGCAGTGACAGCAGCTGTAAAGGTAACTTTCTGCTTGCACTAATTGCTTTTGCCCTTGATATAGAGCAGTGCCATTGCACTGAGGATTTGACATTCCTAAATCAAAAGATTGATTCTGTAAATATATTGAAAACCTGGAACACAACTTAAGGGTTGCAGCCCTCTAGTCCTTCTCATACGATGTATGTTTGTTTAACATGTCTTGTAGTTATTTCTTGGATGGTGGGGATCAGTTTACTGTAATTCAAAAGATACCATGCAGTTTTCTATGCAGATTTTTGGTAAAGATGACCATTGTTTCTTTTCTGTTTCTGTTGTGCTTTCTTGTTGGTAAACAAACTATTTAAAGGATTTCTGGCTTTTCTGCTGTTTTTCTCCAATCAACTTGAGGTAACCCCATATATGAAGTAAGGCATGAAAGATTACTACCACAGTTAAACATTATCTTGACACACTTAACTTGTTTGCAACTTGATTGAATTATTAAATTAATACACTAAGCATAAGCTTGAATATCGCTGTTTAGCATACTCTTGCTTTGTCATATGATTTCCATTCATCATGAAGTAACCTGTTGTTGTTCCCAAATTACATTCTTAAACTCATGACTGTCAGTTGAATTTCAGAGGGTTCTAGGTGTAGGAAAACAAAATGCAAGCTTAAGTAAGATTCTATGCAACCACCAGAAGGAGTATAACTCTGGACAATGTATATCCTGCTTAATAGTCGTTTAAACCAAAACACTAAAGTATGGAAAGAAAGATGTATATGACCTAGTTAAATGATAGTTCTAGGGCAATCAGGATTAATTTCTTCCTGGGAATAAATAAAACTGCTGGATTCATAGTAACAGCATTGAAAATGTGAACACTTGTAGTAGATATCAGTAAGTAATGTAGAGGTCCCTGGCTGTCAAAGTTAAGCAGGTATAGCTAGCATTTAACTTAAATTTCTGTGCTTGTACAAGAACTTGCTTTATAAATCAAAGACACTTCTAAAAACTACATTTTCAAATGTGATCTCAGAAAGGTTTGGAAAAAGTCATGCATATCTTGTTTGTTCATCATCTCTCTTTTTAAAGATACATGTAGGTGGTAGTGTAAAAAGTATCACTTTTTGTTTTAAAATATGGACATCATAAGCCTGAAATACTGAGAATGTGATTTAGTTTGATCACTGGTTCTTTTTTTTTGTTATTCAAAGTCTTAGTAGTGCCTTGAGGCATGAAATAATTTAGAAGGAAATAGAATACACATCTAGAGAAACAGAAGTATCCAGAGTGAAAATAGGTTACTTAGAAAAAACAAACCTGATAAACAAAAACTCAAAGTACTCTACTGGAAAAAAGTTTAAGAACTATGCTAAATGCTAAAATTCAAATTTTTTGCCAAACAGCAAATCATAACTTACTACAATGTGCACCTGTGATATGCTCTGTGTGTTTTCCTTATGTCTGGCTGCCTGGCTAAGGTTGGATATTTCCTTGTTAATCCTTGTGGTGTTATAGAAATATTGTAAAATAAATAACAGAAATATCTCCTCCCACTTTGTTCTGAAATAATGAATAACTTCTTCCGAAATGTCTGTGTTTAGATTTCATTGCTATTCAGCTGTGACTGGCAAGACGCCTGCTCTATTTGTTAAAACTTGTTAAACATGCTCATGAATATTTGTACAGAATTAGTTCAGTGCAGATGAGATGCTTGGGCAAAACAACCACCACAATACCAGAGACCTAAAATAGACATGATTTTTAAACAGTATGAAAGAGGAGACTCTGAAAATCTTTATTTTGGCATGTTAAACCTCTCTTCAGTTTGTCATTCCAAAAAGCTGAGCGTGACTGCTCCATCCAAGCAAATGGAGACAATGCATGTGTTCTTGATTTTTGTTCCCTGTTTTTCAAGAGTTGACTGCTGCCTCCAGCAGGTGAAAAGATAATCCCTTCAGCATGAGCTGGTGGAGCATGCTATAGGATTTCATGAACGGAATCCTATTAGTGGGATCAGTTTTGATGGGAAGGAGACACAATTTCATCCCTTTTTTTTTTTTAAGGAGCAGGCATGCTTATTCTGACATATCGGATCTCAAATTAGGAATAGAGTATGTGGAAGGTTAAACACAACAGGAGGTCCAAAGAAAGCTTCTGTTCACTGAAGTGTCCAAGCACAAGATGCTGTGATGTCTGCTTATGCCAACTTTAGGAGGGTGGTAAAATTGCTTGGAAACTCTCTGGAATATTTTCAAGATGAAGTGTGGGAAAGAGCAGTTTTCTCCAAGGGCTGTCAAAGGAATATTAGTATTAAAAGACTAGTTGGCTGTGCAGGGGAGGCTGGAGCAGCCAGCCGGGTCAGCCTGCTGAAATTTGACATAGATTTAAACCTGCTCCACTCTAGTTACATTGAAATGTAATTGGCAGGAGTCATGGCTTATAGCTTACATTCCTACATTGATTTTTTTTTTTTTTTTTCATCTAATACTTGGTGTTTCAAAACCTGCTAGATAGCATACATTAGCAAAACAAATTGTGTTACTTAAATCAGCATGACAGAAAACAAATCTTTGTAAAATCCTGGTTTCGGGAGACTTGGAGATGAAATGTGGTTGAGGTTGTCTTTTACAGTCTACTAATAAAAATTCTCTTTTGGATATAAAAGAACTGGCAACAAGATGCCTTTAATGATATGGAAGTTGTTGAAGCTCTTTCAGCTCAACAGTGTATGGATTTGTGGAAATCCTATCCACAACACCAAGTTCAACTGATAAATCTTGTGTTTTGATGCATTGGCTTTCCAGTTCTCTGAGATGCAGGTTACTTGTACTTTCTAGTTATTGCCAACGCATAAATTCTGACTTCTGAAGCTACTAGTGAAAACTGGTTTCTCTATCACCACGTGTGGGATGGCTGCTAATTAAGCTGTGACATGCGTTGTCGTTTTTTGAGGTTGCACAAATATTGTTCATTTGTGAAGTATTATTTAGTAGTAATAATAATGATATATTCTGAAGGCTGTGTTTCTGAATGTCCTTTAGTCATCCTGAATCTGCTGCCTTTCTGCTGGTGGATTATTATTCTAACATCCTTGCTCAGACTTCGCCTTCTTCCCACTCGGGGCATGGCCGAGGCCGGCGGGATCTTGCGGCCAGCTGTGGCACGCAGCCAGCATGGCTGTGAGCAGCTCCGCTCCCCGGCAATATTGCTTTCATCCCTCCTCCCTGCTGGGACTGCCCGGCATGCTGCAGAGGTCATTCACGGGACAGCAGTCCCTCTCTAGGTTGAGAGGGATCAGAAGTCATTCCCTGTCAGCCTGGATGGGATCAGCGGGAGAACAGCTGGGAATGTGGGTGCTGCACATGGCAGCTCTGTGGCCACACAGCTCTAAGCAGCCCTGTGGATGCAGAGTCCATTGAGAACTTGTCCAGTGCAGGCAAGCAGCTTTATTCAGTGATGCTGACCACTGAGGGGGCTGTAAGTCCCATTTAAACAACAACAGAAAGGAGTCCCTGAGGCAGACATATACCGTGTGGTGTCTGTTTACAGCAACTTCCCTGGGTTAAGTGTATAGATTGTAAAAAACCCCATGCTTGATAACAAAATAGAGCAGCATTTCATATATGAGGGTCAGCTGATGAGATGGCGTACTAATAGCTTACTAGAGTCAGAGTGGTCTCGGGAGTCCTTTAAGTAGGCTATATGTATCAAAAACTAGTTTAGAAACCTATTAGAACTTCAGTGTTTCAGATTGGTCCCTGGTAATGAATATGGTCTCTGAAAAGAGTTGAATATGTTTTAAGAGCTACTATTGAATAAATAAGCAAACTCATGCTTTAAGACTTGTGTTTTGTTTAAGACCACACCAACTTCACAGTTCATCTCTCTTCAAGGTTCACTTACATGGAATTTTGAGCGCTGAAGTTCTGTGCTTTTTTTTGTTTGCACTGTAATTGTAAATGTGTGTGTCTCAATCTCTTGTGGTGTAATTTTAGTTGGCAGCAGCTGGGCTGGATGCAGCCTACTGTATTTCTTCCTTACTGGTAGGAACTGTTGAAGTAATGGGACACTAGTGCAGGCGTGGCAACTGCACTGCCACCTTCTTGTGTGCAGCAGCTTGGGGTGTGTGTAGGGCTGGGAGGGGTGAGGGCTGCTGCCATACCTGTGGCATGAGTGTGGAAGCAGGAGAACCCCTTTTAACTCTACCTGCGATTGGATTGCTCTGCCTTCTGTTTTTCAGGCAAACATCTTGCTTTCGAGCTGTGGCTAGTAACTCTCTGAACTTTCAAACAAGGTATCAAAGCTCTTAATGCATTCATATTCTAAAATGTGAATGTTATGTTCACGTTTCCTGCCGTAGAGGGTATTTAATCTTACATTTTCTCCAGTAGCAGAGTATTTAATATTTTTCAGCCAGGCTTTCATTCTGAGTTGATAATAATCCAGATCCTCGGCAGAAAGCCACCACCTGCTTCTTTTGGGCATAGGGGGTGGAACAACCTTCCTAAATATTAAGTACTGTATGAGCACGGTGATGTGGGTTGTTTTTTCCTTTACAATTATAACCCCCCACAGAACACCTTGAAATTTGTCCTCCAGTTAGCCCACGCAGTGGTGTGAAGTAGAAATCCATCTTGATTTGTCTAGACTGGATCTTCCTAGGGGTGAGATGGAGACAGTGTTCAGGCAGGAGACTGGGGGGGCTGTAGGGACTATCTGCAGAGGATTAGTGCCATTTGTGACTGTGACTCTGCAGTACGGCAGTGGCTGCGCAGCCCCTGTTTGTACTGTGACTCTTAAGCATGTGTGCTGCCTCTCGTATTTGTATATGTATCCTTTCAAACTCCTTAATATTTACTGTGTGTAACGAGTAAAACTTTCCATCTTGGCAAGTCATTTTGGAATGAAGGGCCCATTGTATGAATCCCTTATGTCCTCCCCGAATGAGGCAATGCTCCGCAGGAGCTCTAGCCTCATTGACCGTGCAGTTTGGTTAAGGGCACAATGTTGCTTTATGGCACATAGTTGACTTTTTTTTTTTTTCCCCTTCAAAAAACAAAATTCTGTATCCATGAGCTGCACTGAAAATGAAGGTTGAACGTTCCCAGTTTGGATCTAGTCCTCTGTCTCAGCAGTGGAATTGGAAATACAGGCTTGTAATGTGAGTTCTTAGCGTGTTAGCTATTATAATCTTAATAACATTATCTTGTACAATTTGCAGATGTCTTTTTGAGGTGTGTCTCATAATGAATGAACTCACTGTGCAACACTTACCCCAGTGTGTCTTCCTACACTTTTATTTCTAGCCAAATCTAGCTTCTGTCACTATTCTGTAGTAGACTCTGTCCACACTTAGTGAGTGGAATTGTGCTGAATTTATATGGATTCTGCTGAGAAGCAACTTGGGTCTATTTTACACATTCATCGGTGTGCAGTGATTGACACCTGAGTCCAGTTGTGTCTCTTCAAGCAGTGGACACAGCCTGATCAAGAGTCTTACTGTGTTAAAGCAGATACTGTTAGCTGTTACTTGTCAAAAGAAGCAGTCCTGTCTCTGCAGTTCTCTGTTCTCTGGTGTCCTAGCAGCTGACTAAGTACTCAGGCATAGCTGGTTCCTGATTTGATTTACTGTGCAAATGCTTTTCAATGAAAAAAGTGGAGTAGTGGAAGGACAGGATTCCTGCCTTAAGGCAGGACAGACCTGCCTTAAATAAGCTATTTTAGGGAATAAAATTAACTTTGGAATTTCTACAGTAGTTTATACACAGACTGTACAGTGTAGTGCATTTTAACTCAAAGGCAAGCTGTAGTTGTGTTCTTGAGAGCTGTTAGTCATCCTACACGTGTGTAGGAAGAAGGAGAAAATTAAAGGCTTGTACTTCTCTCATAAGAAACCCTTTCTTTGTTTAGTGGCAGTGTATGAATGGTGGTGTAAGAGTTAAAAAAAGAAATTAAAATTGGTTCTTCTTGCCCGTGTAGCACACTGTTTTAGTTTTATACACTGTACTAATGACTAGTCATTATAAAATTAGTATTAAGTTTAAGCCACTTCCCTTCCCCTCCGTCCCCCCCGTCCTCCCTCCCCCTGCCTTTGGTGGCCATGCAAGCTTAAGGAGTATGACTCTGTCTCTTCGCTTTACATGGCTATTTTTAACATGGTATAATTTAGTGTGCTGCTCTACCATCTGCAAACAGTTGTTGCTATGAGAGTGAGAACAAATGGCTTGGGCCAGTGGCACAAGAACTGCTATTGCGGAGAAAGGTGTGGGGGATTGTACCCAGATTTCTGCTACTGCTAACTAGCATAATGCTCAAATTTTAGTGAAGAGCTTCATTTTTAAGAGCTTAGTGAAGAGCTTCATTTTTAAGAATGAAACAAAATCTGGAGCCCTTGCTTTGAAGTGGGATTCGTGCACAGGCTTGTCAGCCTTCCTCTGAAACGGTTGTTTTTTGCCATGTATGCCAGAGAGGGAAGAATTAAATGTTTTTTTAACATGACATTGACTAATGTGCTTGTTCTTTTAGCTGTTTATACAATAAATTAATCTTCAGTGCTTTAATAATAACATGATCTGATATAAAATGAAAGAGCTGTTTGACCCATCTTTCTAAAGGGCAACTTCTGATATGTCCCATGGAGGAAAGATGTAAAGACAATCAGAGAAGGAATACTAATGTTGAAATGGGATCGATTATCTTGACACGTAGCATTAGATTTTTGGGTCGGTATTATGGTACTGTGTTCATAAAGCTACATGAGTAACAGAACCTGCTAGCTTGTAGTCCAGACAGGACCTCTTTGGTTTGTGGTTTCAAGTTTCTGTCAACTAGAGCTCTTGTAGTGCTGCCAGTTTCTCAGTTACTTGAGTTAATGTTACAGAGTGTATTTTTAACACATACTTCCTTTCATATGCATATTCAATTTTGTGGAGGACAAAATCTAAAACAGCGGAAATATTTATTTATCATCAACCACGCTTTTTAAAATGGAAGTGTTAAACCCACTGTCATGCTACCTAGCACTGCTACAGAAATACCACGTTTGAAGTGATTTGAGCGTTTCGGATGTGTTTTTCTCCTTTTAAACACTTCCCCTCACCAAAAAAGCCTTTATTTGCTCAGATTAAAGGAGTGAAATGAGACATTTGTAACGAAACTGCTAGCTTATCTGTAAATTACTGGTGTCAGAGCAATATACTGTTAAACTTGGGTAAAAGCAATACTTAAAGCAAACGTAAATCTAACGCATGCTCATGTTGGATGAATTTTCTAGTGCAACAAAGAAGCATGGGCTTGAATGTCTTAACCCATCTCAAACAGCAAAGTTCAACCTCTGTTTTCATAGATACTGTTGTTGTATTTCAGAGTCAAGGTGCAATAACTGAGAAACTGAGAAGTTTCAGTATGCATGACTTGACTACTATACAAGGAGATGAGCCAGTAGGACAGAGACCCTATCAGACATTACCAGAAGCAAAAAAGAAAACCAGAGCATCTGCAAGTGAATCTTCAGGTAAGCATCCATCTATTTCTTTTTCTAGCTAAAAGAACAACTCACCAAAGAGATAAGTGGGAAGGCAGTAATACATTTACCCCATTTAGAAATGGAAAAGACCTCAAAGAAATCCAGTACACTTGAACAGAGTTTACTTGAGCAAGATATATTATGACAGTTGAGAAATCCTCCCTGAATTACTTTCTTCTTGCAGCCACTAACAGCGTAGTCATACTGTTCTCATTACTCCTATCTTTGCCAATTAGCAATGAGAATTCCTTGCCAAAGTAAAGCTTAATTGGAAGTAAAAAAAATGGGATTAAGTGTTGTTTCTGTGACAAATGTACAGAAAGTTAAGTGTGAGAATTTATAGAAGCTCAATAAATAGGAAGAGAAAATTAATGGAAATAAATTCGATACGTCTGTAATGATAGTTCGAAATGTAAAATTGCTTGTGGTGGTCAGATAGTGAAGGCATTAAGTTGTCATAATGGACTGATGCACATCAACACTCAAAAGTGACCAATATATATTATTTTATTATAATATGTTGTTGTTATCATCATCATCATCACTTTGTTTCTGAGAATGTGATGCTTGAAGGAAGGTTTCAGTGGCAGATAACTTTTAAATAGTGAAGTTACAATGTAAAGTAGTTGGTATTTCCTACAAAAGAAATAGCTCTGGTCTATTACTCTTCACCTAAGCCTGTCATTTCCTCTCATCCCTTCATTTTTGGGTAGGGCTGATGCTTGTGGAGGACAAAGAATTCCAGGAATCTCACATGGTAGCCTTTGGTGTTTCTAAGGAATAAATGGCCACGTGAATGGCCTGAAGCTGAGTTGCTAGTTGTGCCCAGAAGGTATCCTGTGAGGGACCGGGGTTACTGGCCAGCGAGAAAGCCCATGGATTCATCGGGGGTTGCATTAGGGATGATGTCAATGCAACTGTTTTGCAGGGGCTATTCCTCAGGAAGAGAGCATTAGTTACCGATCTGAAATACTTGGAAATGCTCAAAATTCCATTTAAAAAAAAATTACTTGGGTATAGTTTATACTTTGTAAATAATCACTCATTGTGAGATTCAACCTCATATGTCAAAACTTCCTTAGAGATAGTTTAACTTAAGTGTTCCTACTCCTGGACCCAAATCTAGTGTACACCTCTTCTGTTTTCTTTGAATTTTCTTCAGCATTAAATTTAAAAAAAACCCAAAACCCCCAACCAAAAACCCACAGACCACACGTAAGTGTTGGGAACAGCTACGTAGTGATATGTTATTGCACTTAGCAGAATGTTATTTTTTGTGATCTGAGCTGCAATTAGTTCAGAAGACAGAGTTGTAGAAGGACATCGATCATAGGATGACTGAGCTGCCAGTGTACTTGCTGTGAAAAAGGCAAATGTGGTTTTGATGCATCAGAAGAGGTGTTACAAATAGAGATAAGGGAGTATTGGTGTCACTGCTAACATCCCTAGTCAGAGATGATATGAGGAACAGATGCAGTTAAAATCTTCCGTATTGGAAAAGATGAATTGTATTGGAGGCAGAGACATGTTGCCTCTAGAATGGCAGAGGAGGCAAGTCTGCCTTGAAGTAGCTGTGGAGTAGGTGAGTGTGATTCTAATTTGGGGAAAAAAAAGACTAAAGGAAAAGAATCTAAGCCTAAATACAACATCGGTTTAAGATTAAATGTACATTGATCATCATGAAAGTTGGGGTTGGAGTCTAAAAAGTATTCTGGAGGTTTTGGAACAGCCTTATAAAAGCAGAGGTTGGCGAGGGGAAAGAACCAGAGTACATTTGGGGGCCTTAGGATAGGTCTGTGATGGGGATTCAGAGCTTTCGGACACTGGGGATCTTTTCAGGACCTGTTTTTAAGCAGTTTGCGCCCTCTAGTGCGAATCTTCGGTAATAATCTTGGCCCTATTTTCTCAGGGTATAAACAACCCTCAATAGCACTTTGACATTGTATCGATCTGAAAGGAACTTTGGCATTAAATATGCAGAGAGGTGTGCAAGTGTGAAGAAAGGTCCTGTGAGTCACAGAATTATAGAATGGTTTAGGTTGGAAGGGACCTTTTAAAGCTCATGTAGTCTAACCCCTCTCCCACGGGGATTATGGCCAAAAACCTCAAGTACTTTTCAGCATGACCACTGAGGTTTTTGCTGTTCAGTGTAAGTCAGAAGACGGTAGCAGACTGATGGTTTCATTTTTGACAGTTGAGGAACCCACTGCATTACATACTCTTGGAACAGAGTGGCTTGGTACTTAAAAATGGGAGGATTATAAGCAGTGAGCTCCTGGCAGACTAGATATTTTGCTGTTCTGAAACAGCTGGCAGACTGTATTGTTTAAGAGTAAAGGATGTGTGTTAAAGACGAAACTCATGGCTTTCTTAGAAATCTAAAAGCTACAGCTACTTCTTATTAAACTCCTTAATAAAACTGTTTTTTAAAGGTTACAAAACTCCACTGGAAAAAAACCCTGGAGATGATAAAACAGATGAAGAGATGGAGGGGACACATTCAGAGGATGAAATGTTTGCTCAGAGAGGCCTTCGAAGAACTCAGAGCATGAAATCTGTCAAAACTATTAAAGGCCGTAAAGAGGCAAGTATAATCTTAGTGAAGTATTGAGTTTGCTTTTAACTGTATCCCAACATTGTTGTTAATGTGAAAATTATTTTTTCTTTATCTTAGAGGGGTTATCAACAATAACTGGGTGGTAGAAAACTAAATGGAGGAGGAAGTATGTGATAACAGTATCTAATCTTGGAGCTTATGTACTTCTGGGTGTTTAAGGGAAATACATGAATTAAATGAACTAAGGGAGGAAAAAAAGGAGCGGAAATAGACTCTGTGCTTGTAATGCTAATTCTAGCACTACCCTGCCCAAATTCCAGAACTGCTCGCCTTGAAAAGGGTGCAGATAGTGATATTATCATCTGCATTTGAGTATCTTGGTTCTGCACACTTAAACATCTGCTGTTTAATGGATTAAAGAAGATTCAGACTTTCCTAGTTCCCATAGACATAGGGCCTGCTTTGACTTGTTACCCATGAAGTGAAGATCCTGTGTAGGATTCAAAGTGCTTTATATTTGCACGTGTCACAGAATTTAAAGATACTTCTGGATAAATCTCTACGGAATGTCAGAAAAACTTTTGGGTAATTCTGGGAAAACAGTTGAGACTTACCCTTCTCGATTCTGTTGAAACTATCTCATTCAGTCACAGATAGATTCTCGGACTGAAACTATGGAGTGTCCAAAGCACATTTAGACACTTGATAGATTGGATTGGTGGGAAGTTAAATAATATTTCTGCCTGAAGGGATCGCAACTCTTAGTGAAGTTGTGTGTGTTTTTTTGTTTTTTTGTTTTTCCCCTCAGATACGGTATGGATCGCTGAAATACAGAGTCAAGAAGAGACCCGCTGTATACTTCTAAGTGTATTGCACAATGCCTGCAAGACAAACTGCTGTATTATAATAACTTGAATTCAGTGTGTCAAGTGTTTAAAGATCTGTGTATGATTCATATAATGAGTATATATGAATAGATATGGTAGGACTTGGTTTTATGAACCTAAATGGTTGGATAAAGTATTACTCTTCTGTAATGGCTTATTGTTTTGACTTAAATCTGGACAAGTTATAGTATGGATCTCTGCACTCCTCAAATGGGAGTTAAATGACTAACAGGAAACAGCCTTTCCAGAGGTACTTAACAGACTGAAATAATTACTACTCCAGTTGAATTACCAGAAGTTGTAAGTGTTTGAAACTTGTAAAAACTGAACTCAGTGTCCCCATGTTTACATGGAACGATAGGTATACTTGAAATATTTTTCTGAACTGCAATTCCTGAAAAGGCCTTTCTGTAATTTAAAAATGTACAGTTTAAAATGGAGCATGGTGGGGAAGGAACAGATGAGGTAGGTATGGTAGGTACATCCTTAAGATCGTCATCTTGCATCATTGCCAAGCTTAACAAACTTATACAATACTAATAGGTGTAAACTGGGGGTACATTTAGCACTTTATGCAAAACTGTATAGTTTTGCACACTCTTACTGATTTACAGCTGCACATATCATTTTAGTGACTTCTTAGGTAGGTTAGACTTATCTTTTGAATGCCAGCAATTCTTGTGCTTCGTGATTTTTTTTTTTTTAATTTATCTTGATTGCTTAAGTACACTTAGGAAGCTGTAGATAATGGCTACTAACATTTATCAGGTGCCTTTCTATGTATTACTAGGCTGTGTGGATTTTTTTCTGTGGGGTTTTTTTTTGTTAGTTTGTTCTGTTTTATTTTGTGTCTTTCTTCCTCCTTCACCTAGAAAGATGTAACATGATTTTTAGGTCAGTTTTTGGTTAAAATTGTGGTAAGAAAAACATGTAGCAATTCCAGTGATAGACCTCAGGGATCTGATCAGCCCATCAGCTGTGTATTAGAAGTCATGCTGACATAAAGGCATGCGTGATAGATTATTCAGGTCCTGGTTTGGTTTTGCTCTGTGTTCCTTTAAGAATGAATATATAAAAAAAAAACAACATGTATGTGTGTGTATTTTATATCATATGTGGATTCTAAAATTGGCTGTGTACTACTTTTATTGCTGAAGATATTACTAGAATATTTACATACAAATAGCTTTTTCTAAAAGTCTAGCTGATTTAGTCAGCTGTTTTATAACCTAGAGTCTCATGGCATAACTGTTTGTGCAGAGATTAATTTTGGAATGTCATTCAAGGCAAGGACTTGTCAAACTGACTTTCTGAGGCTCCCCCTTGGTTCTGTTTTCGCAAATCCGACTTAGGCTGATTTTAGTTTTCTCTGTGACTATTTCTACTGTGGATTTAGGGAGAAAACACCCACTTTCCATAGATGTATGTTACTTCTTGGCATGGGGAGAGATGCTATTACTTTTCTTGAAGAGAAAATGGTGTGTGAGCCCTCTTGTCTTTGGTTCTTGGAGTCCAGTCCTTAGACCTTCCCCCAGGTATGACAGTCACCTGCAAGTCTACAGCACTGCTTTGCAACATGCTCTTAAAGCTTGGGCCTGCTGTGGTTCTTTTTCTGTGCATTACATCTACAGTGGGTTCACCGCTGGGAGGCACATAATGGCCTGTTAATATATACTGGCATTTGAAGTCGTCTTCTGTGGACTTTGGGCCAGGGTTTGAATTGTATGGATAAACATGCAGCTGGTCTGTATTGGCGTTGTGTTACTCGCTTGCGTTACAGGCATTTGTAGGCCAGGTGCAAAGCCTTGCTCAAATACCACAGTAGTGATGGCCAGTGCTTTTAGCATCTCCCAGGAACTTAAATGCAAGGCCCAAGTTCGTATTACTTGACTTGAAGACGCAGTTTTGTATGGGACAACGGGAGGGCTGCTCCCTCCGAGATGAGTGTAGTGCAGAAATCCCATCCTCTAATGGAAACTGGGACTTGTCATCTCGCTTTCCATCTAGCTGTTGTCTGTGGGGGAGGCAGTGATCAGAAAGGCAGCCTGCCCAGGGCATGCTCTGGCACTTGAGCCCCAGGACTGTTTGTGCTTCTCTTCCATCCCTTCCCCTGAATGTAGGGAAGGGCTGCCTGTCTTAAGGTATGCAAGGTGTTAGTGGAAATGGAGGCTTTTGTATCTGCATGTCGCCCCTCTGAAAACCGGAATAACCTGCGCCTTGGGTGGAATCTCTTAACTCTTAGTTGAACGTCCTCTTTGAGCACTTGTTGCCACACCTTGCTTTAACTCATGTTTGTTTTACCAGCAAGCATGACAATAAAATTGTCATCTTTCTACAAATCCGATTCCTGTGTGAAGGAGCAGGGTAAGGTCTTCTTTCCAAATTACCATTTGACAGTCTTACTCGTTTTCATTGCTGTTTGCATATAAGTGTACTTGTGTTCTCTCAGATGCTGTCTTCAGTGATAAAACTTCCAGTGTTTTCCTATCTGTTTTTTTCCAGTTTAATATCCTGCTGTAAGATTCTTTCCTTGACAGGAAAGCTTGATTTTGCTTTTTGGATTCATCCTGAAACTGGGTCACTGTATTACCTTAATATGTTTTTTCTTTGCTGTTTATTGTCAGCTGATGCTTGGCAGGGCGCAATGGCATGATTAGCTTTCATCCCAATAATATGTATTTCACTCTGCTTGTTGAATTTAGTTTAGTTTGGTTTTGAAATATTACACAATCTTTTAAACCTTGTAAACTTTTTTTGCCTTAGCAACTGCAAAAATGATCTGTCTAGTTCTTGACAGTAAACTTCTTGTAAAAATGTTAAAAATCAAAAATTAACAACAGTCTTTTTGGTTTTGGAATGTAAAATGTAGTTCATGTCAAATAATATAATCATACAGACAAAGCATTGCCTGAGAATTGACTGACTGCCACAACAGGACTGCTAATATAGTTAAAGAAAAACTTATGTAGAGGTTAAAGGTACTTTAAAAGAGAGTATGTATTTCTTCTTAAATCACCTAAAGTTTCAAGGCTTTCCAAAATGTATCTGAACTGTCTTGGATTTCTCAGCGAGAGCCCTCTGTACGTTTTGACATGAGGATTAAATTGATGGCCTCAGTTGCAAATAAACTTAGGCCAGACTCTGATCACAAGGTAATTGCCAATATTAGCTCCTTAACGTTAATTGCTTTGCTATGTGAAAGTACTATCCGAGATACTTTTTGCAAACTACAATGAATTTTAAAATGAACAGAAAAGAATTTGATTGAACAGAATGGTAGGGTAAATGCTAGATGCATTTAACACGCTATTCATGACAAAAGATGTGTTTTATTTTTCGTGTTACTTTTATTAATGGGAAGATGGTATTTTTAAGTATTTTTCTACGAAAATGTGTATGTGCAAAGGCAATAATTTAACATTTTCCAAGAACTTGTATTTTTAATCACTACGGACCAGAGACTGTCTACGTTGGGACTGACATTAGTAGCTTTAAAAAAAAAAATGCAATGTATGCTTTAATTTTTATATTGTAATAACAACTTGCTGTCAACTTGTTTACATATTTGTAGGAGGGAAAGCTTCATTATGCATTGATGTATCTTGATACTATCTTTAATAAAGGCTGCTTTAAGCAGGATGCAGTGGATCTTTTATTACTTAAATTATGATTAACAAACCAGTCACTGTATACTCCGTGTTCTGTTACTTAGTACAGCGATTCCAGTACTGAAACAACCTATCTGAATTTTGAAGAGACTTTTAAAACTGTTCAAACTATGACTAAACTGTCATTGAGGTTTCGCTGTGGAGCCTGATGCTGATACAGACTTAAATGAAACTTACCCTGCTAAAGGCATCTTGAAAATGCTGTGGTGTTACTTAATTTGATTAGATGTTCAGTTCAGAGTAAACTAAAACTAAGATCTTAGTCTCCCAAAAGAGTATTCCTGGGGAATGGTTGGATTTTTAATTAAAACACTTGTATTTATTGATGCAAATGGATATTGCTTTGTATTTCCTAGTTGAACAGAGTTCTGGTAACCCAGAGAAGGAGATGCACAAGTGAACTTGGGCCTTTCCTTTTTCAAACCTGCCTTTAAGCTGTTAACTCTCCTAGCAAAGCCAAGCAGACACCTCAGTAACCATATTTTCTGGGCCTTTTTTGCAAGGCTTCCTGACTTACTGCCTCAAAGGAAAGAATTTCTTGATATGGTTAATTGAGGATAAAGCCTTAAAAACGACTATTTATTGCTACTGTCTCCTAAACATTATGAAAATACCCTCCAGAAGCACAGACTGTTAAGGGACCTCGCAGTGATTCAGTTCCTATGTCAGAACAGTTCATACAGTACAAACCCCTTACCTACTGGAGAAATTGTGGATGTCGGACAACAATGCTGAGTTTTCCTTTAATTGTTCAACTAATGTTTAGTTGATGTTCACAAATATGGGCTAAAAGCAGTATCCCTGCTGGTGAGATGTGCTCAGGGAATGAGTAATTATCTGGTGATTCAAAAATAGTGCTGGTATGTATGTCCTATGCTAAAATGATCAAGATGAAGCAGATGCAGCAATGGTGACAGTTGGGGGGGCTTTTAAAAAATTTTTTATTTGAGACTGTAAGTGTTGTGTATTTTCCACACTAACGTGGGAAAACAGATGATTGAACATGAGGGGGAACCTAACAGGTTTTGTAAAATCAGTAGACTTCCAAAATTATTTTCATCCTTTCTGTAGATGTATTCAGGAACAAACCAGGAGCCTGTTTTGTGTAAGTCTGCCTGCTTTTGCTGGAGTTCAGCCACAGATTGCCCTGCCTGAATTAGGGTAGGAATCATGAAAGCAGCTGAAACGGAGACTGTAAGGACTTCACACACAGCCTAGGATTTCACTCCTGTCTGCTAATGTATTGCAATGACATGGATGAGGAAGCTCAGAAATTATTTAGAAAGTCCCTTTTACCCACGCTGTCACAGTTCCAAGGTAAGCAGCACTTTGACCCTCACTTAGCTCTTCCTGGGCAACGTATCCGCTATGTCGTGTGGCACAGTGTTCTCGGTGAGCTGCACTGTCCCGTCCAATCTTTCCACTAATTTTAGCTCTCCTGGACTAATTACTAAGGAGAGGTCACCCTAATATACTGCCTCAAAGGAAAGAATTTTTTGATATGGCCAAATGGGGAGAAAGACTTAAAAATACCCATAAAGCCAAACAAAATCCCTGTGTGAAGTTAGTGTAATAGAAAAGCTGCATCTTCCAGTGTAACGCTAGGAAAAATAGAATTCTTGCAAGAATTACACCGAAGAAGGCCACTTACAGTGCTTTTGTTATGCTTCCCCCCACCCCCCCATGTCTAATTAATAATGTTTCTAGTCCTAATACTAGAATTGCCAATTTAACTGGAGTTTTTCCTGTTGTCCGTAGGATGTGGAGCTTTTAGGTGGCACTCTGCAAACTGGATGAAAGCCGTGGGGTGAACAGAGCATTTATGGTAATTTGTTTTATTGAATCGACAAGCAGAACTGGCTTGTTCTGTAGGTGCCCGAGGACCAGATCTGGCCCCACAGTGGCCTGGGAAGGGGGCTCCAGAGCAAAATGGACCTTTGGTAGCAGCCTGCGGTTACTGAGGCTGGATTAAATCCTGATGAAAAATCCTGCTTAATATCGAGATTACAGAAGAGGAAGAGCTGCTCCTGTTTTACAACAGCTCTGGGGCAACTGCTGGGCTGGTCTGCGCCTCCCTGGGGCCTCTCCTGACGTTTTCGCTGGGGGGGCGACTGGCCCTGAGCCCCCTGGCACCTCGCTCGCCTTTTCCTCCTGGGGCAGCCGTGAGGCAGCTCCCCACCACCTGCTGGTGCTCCCCACCCTGCCCAGCTCACGCTGGGATTCTTCGGGATAGCTTGGGGTTTGGGTTTTCTGGTGGTTTTTTAGTTTGGGTGTTTGTTGGGTTGCTTATTTTAAATTACAGAATCGTCTCGGTTGGAAAAGCCCTCAAAGCTCCTCCAGCCCAACCATTAACCTCACACTGACCGTTCCCAACTCCCCCAGATCCCTCAGCGCTGGCTCAGCCCGACTCTTCAACCCCTCCAGGGATGGGGACCCCCCCCTGCCCTGGGCAGCCCATTCCAACGCCCAACAGCCCCTTCTGCACAGAAATCCTTCCTCAGAGCCAGCCTGACCCTGCCCTGGCGCAAGGTGAGGCCATTCCCTCTTGGCCTGTCGCTTGTGACTTGGTTCAAGAGGCTCATCCCCCCTCTGCACCCTCCTGGCAGGGAGTGTCGAGGGCGACGCGCTCTCCCCTGAGCCGCCTCTTCTCCAGAAATTTCTCCAAAAATCAGGACCATGGGCGCGGAGCGGCGGCGGCCTCCCTGCTGCCTGGGGCGCTGCCGGTGGGGCGGCGGGT